TCAATTGTTTTCAGACCAAGTGGTTCCATAATCGGTATCTGTAAGACAGGCATTGTAAACTAAAACTAATTTTACTTATATCTATGAGCCAAGTAAAATTCTACTGAACATTTGAATTCTTACATGCATTACCTAATCTTAGAGCAGTTTTCGTATGACTGTGAAAACCTCACGACACGAAAACAGTCGTGACACGGCAAGTGATACGCCAGACCAATCACACTGCTCGAAAATTTACTCTCCATCCAATCAAATACCCGGAACACAGCATGAAACCGGCGCAGACACGGTCACGCCAAGGTCACGGTACTGTCAGACCAATCACATTGCGCGAGAAATAAATCAGCCAATCAAAATTCTAGAAACCACCACGTTCACGGCAAGGTACGCATACGGCACTGAGCTTTTCACAGTCATAAGAAAACTGCACATTCACAGGGTGATTGGTATGTTAACTAACTCTTGCGAGTTTGCTAACGCATTTCAGTGCAAGATTAAGAGGCAATGTCCACAAGAATCGAACAAATGTTGGCAAGGGTCAAAAAATCAAATTCGCTCTTCTTTTGAAGTTAGATAGGCCATTATTAGATATGAATCACTGGGTAGTTGGTTTTCGAAAATATTATTTCATTTTCGAGAAAACGACCACAGAAGAGGTTCGACCGAAACCCAAGCAAGAGACGCTCAAGACGAGTGAAAATGGACAAACTTTGAACAGAGCTCGMGTAAAAAATAAACTATCTATGACAATTTTTGAAATTTCTTCTTAATGTAACACCCATTTTCGTTCATTGGACTGGATTTCGAGCTTATTGGGAAAGGGACGAATTTTTGGCGAGGGAAAATAGGAGGCCTATGTTTACATATGCTAATTAGTTGCCTCAAAAGAAAAAATGATTTAACTATGGGCAAGTTCTCTGATTGAAATAATATTTATGCTGCAAGTTGAGGAAGAATAGATCTTTTCAAAACTTTAAAGATTGATTTGGGGAAATTAATTCTGACTGCATAGAAACCTGTTGAATTTGGTTGAAATACATGCGAAAATCACGCCTCCCAAATCAACGCAGGACTAAGGATTTTCGTAAAGATTGCCATGAAATTTACCCTGAAAACTAAGAAATTAATGTTTGTGCCGTTGTTTGAAAGTTCAATGTGGTTTGGTAAATTTAAGCTCCATTGGAAAGGTTTTGGGATTGTCGGTATTTGAGTAAAAACGTGACTTTGGTGATTGCGTGACCGAGGTTCCACTTTGCGTTTAGAAGT